GGGGGGGGGGGGGGGGGGGGGGTTGCGCGCGTTACACGAATCCCATTTGCCCGCGAGAACTTGGAGAGCCCCGGCAATCAGTCAAAATGACAAGTTCTTCTTTGCTGCTGCTACTGCCGAGCTGCTGCATCCCAGAAATATGATACTTTTTACCTTTCATTTTCTGAAAAAGATACCATTGAAGTTTTGGATGCCATGCGCGCGCGAGCTTATTCTCTCGCTGCACTCCCGCCTCGTGCTCTTTCTGCTGCCCCTCTCTCTCTCTCTCTCTCTCGCGCGCGCGCGAGTTTTCACGTGGAAGAAAAGCAGTAACGCGCGCGCGGGCTCTCCGAGCTTTCGAGAATTTCGTTTGAGCTATATATACGGTGTGTATGATGTGATGTGCACGCTCGTTCGCTCGCTAGCTCGTTTCGTTCGTACGTTCGTTCGTTCGGTATTTACCGCAGTGGCCAATTTCAGTCAATCTCTTCCAGCCTATTTGCTCTGAAAAAGTGGCATTGAGCCGTAACAAAAAGTATAACAAGTGTAATAGCGAGGTCTTTATGCACATTATACCAGCCAGTGTCTGTGCAACACACTCCTTTTTTTTTAAATAGCTGCACTGGTTTTATATCTGCATGCTACTTATACATATACACACAAACATGCATAGATAGAGCGAAAGAGAATGAGAGAGGCTCTGGTGGCGTTTATACACACACACGACAGAGACATTCGAGCCATTCATAATGCGCGCGCGAGCACTTTCTCTCGGGGCGCGCGCGCGCGGCACACGTAAATTATCATCATTATCGCGAGCGGCGTTCTCACTGCGGCTACAAAGACTCGACTGCCATTTTATGCATACGCGATAAAAAAAGATACTGTCTATACGTATAATAAACACGTACACCCTCGAGCTCATTCAACGTTCCTCGGTACACAATATAATGGAAGGCAGAAAAGCCGGGCGGACTAAATGCTTTTTCGAATAACAAAAAAATAACTTTTACATAAAAAAAAGAGGGGTAGAGAACGAATAAAAATCGTTATCCACGCGCGCGCACACAATGTCGTATACAACATGCTCTGTGCGGAGGATAACACTGCGCTGAAGATCTTCACAAAGCTTCAAAGGTCGAGTGAGCGCATTCGTGATCCTCTGCTCGTTGACAACTATACGATATGCCCGCGCGCGCGCGATACAAGAGGGCTATATACGCTGCTGTTGTAGCGTAGATATACATAGGATATACATTACAGCGTGACACATACATGCTTGAGCTTTCTGTAGTACGTTACACATTGTGGGAGTCGGGGATGCATATAGTCGAAGCGCATGGAGAGAGAGCGAGTCTCCCACTCTCTTAGACTTTCTCTCTTTTTGGAGGAGCGCCCGTAATTGGACTGACTTTCCTTCGACTTCTCTTTCTACTTCTTCTTCTTCTTCTTCGTCTTCTTAGCCCTCGTACTCGCGCGCGCATGCCTTGCCTATATGCACCCCCTGTCCAATTAGGCAATGCCGGAAAAGACACATACACACGCTCTCTTACTCTCTGTCTCTTTTCTACAGTAGCAGCAGCTCGAGCTTTCTCTCTCTCTGTGTTTCGCTCAGCTCTCTGGAGAAAAGTCTCGTCATTTCTTGAGAAGACGCGCGCGGGCGCGCTTCACTCGCGAGCTACTCTGCCTGTGCTAATAGATTTTTTTTGCAGTCGTGCTCTTCTCTTGTTTTTTTTTTTTTTTTATTTTTCTATAACACTCGCACACCTGTGCAAGTGCTCGACTGTTGGTGTGGAGCTGCACAGTCATCGCACAATGCACGTGTACGCTCAACACTATCTCCGCGCTCGTCTTGTTCCGTTTTTCTTTTTTCTTTTTTTTTTTCTTTTTATTTATATTTTTTTTCTTGCTACCTATTCCGTTCGCTGGAAAATGAGGCTGAGGTGCAATAAGTACTTTTTGTTAAAATTCAAATGGCCATTGTGTTTTTTCGCGTAAACGCGCGCGAGGCAGGAAGTTGTTGCCAGAGAAGAATTTCAAGCTGCGTTTTGCGCTCGCGACCTAATGGATTTTTCTTTCGCACGATGCTCTGCAATCCTCCCTAACGCCGCCGTATGCCGACGCCTCCTCCTCTTTCTCGCTCGTTCACTTTTCCCCCTTGTCTAGGCTCTTTAAGCTAGGTACGCTCACCATCGTGCATACATGCACTCAAGAGAGAGAAGGGAGGGAAAGAGAGGAAAAGAGAGAAATTTCGCTCAAAAGGAAATTACACTTCGAGATACTCATTACTTCCGAGTGATTTTTCGGATACAATATACATTATTTACCGTAGCACGCGCGTTTCTTTGCGAGCATTAAAGTGAGCGAGCGAGCGAGCACAGCACAGCGTCTTTCACGAGTTATTTTTCTGTATTTTTTGCTGCCGTTGTTGTGCTATACTACCGTTCAAAGCTTATCTTTCTTGACTGCCGGGAAAAGTCAACTTTTGAAACGCAATTCCAAGACAAACAATCGTCCATGATGGGACGTAATAGCAGCTCCCTCTCTCTCTCTCTCTCTCTCCCAGCGCGGAACTTTCAGTCTTAACCCTGGGATACTGGTGCTGCTGCACAGTATGCTGTGCAAGTAGCAGCTCGGAGCAGCTTCTGCGCAGAGCAAGAGAGAAAGAGAAATATGAGTAACGACAGTCTCTAGTACGGAAACAACATGCGCGAGCGGGGCGCGCGATATCGAGTTGTATAATTAATGGCAGTAATAGGAGCCCAGGGAGAGAGAGAGAGCCCGAGAGCCGAGCGAGCGAACGAGCGAGCTCTCTAGCTAGCTGCTGCTGCAAGCGCAAGTTTCTCTGCTTTGCCAGGCAAATGAGCTTAGGGGTATCCCACGCGAAAACTTGGGACTAAACCAAATTATACCTGCGCTAGCGCCGCGGCGGCGGCGGGCTCTGTGTGTAACCTGGGGTTTTGAAATACCGAGGCGCGCGCTCATCGCGGTGCTCACTACAGCTGTACTACGCGCGGCGCTACGTATACCTATCTCTCATTACAATTACCCCGGTTGGGTTTTTGCGCTGCAGGACCGATGGCGCAGCGGGCTTTGTGAATAATTTATATATCTCGTGCTTTATGTACGAGCTTTTCGCGTAAACGCGTAATTGCGTGATCGGTTAATCTTTTATTTTTCTTTCAGAGAGAACGAAAGCTCGACGTGTACTCGACATTACCTGTGAACGATCTCCTGCTGAATCCACTCTCTCACTTTGACCTTGGTGTCGATGGTCGACGACGAGTTATCCCTCGATCTCCGGCCGAAGTTGGAATTGTTATCGTAGGCCTTGTCGTTCTTGATGATTTCGCGCAGGTCGGGCTTGCTGGCGCTGTTGCAATAGCCGAGCTGCTGCTGGCGCTCCTCCTCCTGTTTGTTGGCTAGTCTCGGCCGGCTGCCGCTGCCCTTCGGCAATACGACATGATGATGCTGCGCGTGAGCCACGCCAATAACGTGGGGCGAACGTAGCAATGTGTGATGATTGCCGCCGCCGACGCCGCCCCCGGCTTTATTGCGCAGACCGTGGCACTTGCGATACAGATAGAACAGAGCCGTGGCATTGATCAGGAGGAACACGACGCCGAATCCGATGAGTAACGACATCGCCGAGGTGCTTCGAGGCCTATCTTCCCCTGTGCCGTTTCCACCACTGACACCACCGTCGCCGACACCTTTGCCACCGAATTCGGCTCCGTAGTTGACCTTTTGCTGTGGGAATCGTACATTGTACCAACGACACATACAATCAACGCGATAACAAAGAGACGTTTTCTGGCTTGCATCCTTACGCGTGTTTCGCCGTCGCCATCGCCAAGATTAGAGGCTGTAAAGAGCTCGTTGTCGTCGTCGCCATTGGAATTCCCACCAGGATTTAGCACATTGGCCGGTTCGCTTCGATTGCCGTACTCCCGGTCGAAAATGTCCAGCAGACCCGGACGCGGACGCCTCGCCTGGGCCGCCTTCTGCTGTTCCGTCGACAGCTCGATAACTTTGGGTCGGCGTAGCAGCTGCGGTATCTCCTCGTTCCAAAATTCCATTTCCGCGGCGCGATAGCCGTGCCCTACATGCGGCGGTGTGGCTGTAACATTAGTATAAGAGAAGTAGAGAAAAAAAAAATTCTCAGCTATTATTTCTTTTTACAGCTCCGGATAAAAGATTAGGCGTATAAGCGTGCGGATGCGTTAGATTAAATTTTTACATTCAGCTCGTACGGCTAGAGCAGACCACTATATACACCACGAAGAGAGAATGATGGGTCGAAAATCGATGATGCCGCAAGCGGGGGCCTGAGCCGCGTCGCGAGAGAGGTAATTAATCGTTATAACTGTCATCGAGAAAAGCGAGTAGCGTGCGATATATATGGCTGCGCCGGAGCAGCAGCAGCCGCGATGCAACTACGTAAAATTATACGCGCGCGCACGCCGAGCAATTATCAAATTGCATCGCAGCTGGGCATGTATAGCTATCTATCTAGCCCAGAGCAGGCTTTGAACGCCGACGACGACGAACGAACGACCGATAATGTTGTACCTCGAAGACAGCCTCGCGCGCGACGATTTCCAATAATCAATTGGCAATCCAACTAATGTTCCGTCGCTTTATATACACGTATATATACAAACCGACTAAAAAAAAACGAAGAGAGCAAAAGCTTGTAACTCGCTCATGACGACGTGCCTCGGCTCGCGGGCTTGCATGCTATATTGCGCCCGCTATATACGCTAGGTAGGTAGTTATATAATACGGCAAAAGAGGACCGAGAGAAGATTCTTTTTTGACCTTTATATATATACGCCGCTAGCGCACACGGGGACATGTATCAAGAGAGCAAACAACTTACTAAGATTAAAGTACGTCTGGTTTTCGGGGTCGTATTCCGGCCAGTCTATTTGGTAGGGCGAGGTGGCCTCGTAGTCATCACTCAGGTAAGACAGTCTCCTCGGTGGTGGCCTGACGTTGTTCGGGCTCCTGCGAAAATTCAACGAAATAAGAATATACTACTAAGCAGGAGCTGCTACTGCTGCTCTACTCGAGCTTAAGAGAAAGAAAAATTATTGGGGAAAAGGACAAAAGACCGCGCGCAGACACATAAGAAAGAGAATATAAGAAAAGTTTTCTCTCATGTACAATATCTTAATTCACTCTGGAAAAGCTATTAATTTACGATGGTCAAGTTCAGCTCTTAAGCACAATGTGCGAGGACATTTGCGCTTCCTCTCTCTCTTTCTTTTTCTCGAGTTTCACAGTGCTTTTTCGTTTCTTCAATTTAGTCATGGCGACTCAGCTAGATTAACTTACAATTACTTTACAGAGCTCTATCCTTTCGACATAAGACGAGCACTCGGTTGTGCGAATATTTTTTGAATTATCATTGAAAAAAATCAATCATTTCCGCGCCCAGTCCCCGTAATTTTGCAGGTGAATAAAGTTAAAGGTAAAAAAATTGCAGCTCACCCTGAATAAGCGAAATTGCACCACCAGTCCATGATGGCCTTCGACAGCAGCGCCTCGCCTCTGTCGTAAGCTGCGCTCAGGTGATGGCCCTCGCCGCTCAATGGAATACCCAATACGTAAGGCAGCTCCTCGCCATGAACCGTGCGCTGGATCTGCTCCTGAAAGTGAGTGTCGCTAGTTTCAAGAAATTTTTTCTTTTTGTGTAATTTTCGTCTCGGGGCGCTCTGTTATCTCATTGAAAAAAAACTTTAATTGAATTCAGATATAATGTAAAATAAAACATTATAATTAAATCGACTGATGGTGAATTTTATTTAAAGTACCTTTAAAAAAAATTGTTGTTCAAAAATAATGTATAAAGTTCCTTTATTTTACATAAACAGCGCAAAAAATGCAGGAAAATGTAATTATATACATTATTTTTAATCTAGAAATGAATAAAAAATATTTAATCCTAAATTCAATTTTAAATACGATTGAATACTTCAATAACGTTCAATAATGGCTATTCAGTTTTTTCCTTTATTACGCAAAAAAAGTATGCTATTCAGTAATAATTGAAGTTTTCGCCGCAAGATGGCGAGTTGATACTTGTAAATTTGTTGATATTTGTAAACCTGCAAGTGGTAATGTCAGAATAATTGTATAAGTAAAAGTCAGGTTAAAAAAAATAAACATCTCGGGCAAGAATCGAACATTTCTTGTTATTGGAAGAGATTAGACGTCTGCTAATGTAAAGCAGGCAAAGATCCCAGAAGCATTGTAAGAAATAGATTCAAAGTTACAAATTTTATTCAACTTAAATTTAACATCATATTGTCAAAAGCAATACAACAATTCAACAAAATTTGGAGCTTTCCTTGTGAGAGGTTTGTGTGTGCATAACATACACCCACACAATATTATAAGCATTACTTGTAAAAGATCTATTTTTCGTTCTTGTTCTGATGGATTTTTTATAAAACGATTTTCATAGTAATGGCGAAAAAAAAGTTAAGAAGCTTAGGACAAACGAAGTATATGGCCGGATGCGCTGTTTGTTTTATAATTTGAATCCATATTAAGTTTTATTCGTCGGATCAAAACTCGCGCATGCACGCAGCACAGCTCGCGTTAAGCACAAAAAATTAGCGAACAAATACGTCTAGTTTGTGCGAGAAATTCTTCAGGTACGCAAGGCTCGAGCTTCATATTCTTTAACATACAGCACTTTTATGTATCTTTTACGTTAAGCAAGACATCACCTTTTTGTAAATGCTCAGCACGTCAAGCATAAAAAATGAATGCAAAAATATTTTCAGATAAAAACGTTAATACATCAACACGACCGCTTGTCGCAGCGAGCGCAACGAAAAAACTAAAGTGAATCGCGATAAAAAAATCGTTATATTTCAGTCTTAAAATCATCGACGTAACGAGAGACGCCAAAGAAATAAAGTGAAATGAAAACAAAATACAATGAAAATAAAACCACCGGCTACTCGCGAGTTTTATGAGATGACGCCAAAACGTACGTCGCGCCCGGCTTTTAACAATTATAGCACGCATTTTTCGCACACCCTTTTCACCGCGACACATATAATAGTAGCGTTATTACGAGCGGTGTATGTTTGTATGTTTGCTCGCGCACGGACGCGAGCCATGAAACGTACGACTGTCGCGCCTGGAAAACAAATGAGATTAGCTCGGGCGAGTATATAGCGGTCCGGGATTAGAAACGTACACCGAGCGTGGCTCTCGGGCAGTCGTACATTATATCTACGTACATGTATATATGGCAGCCTGCAGCCGCGCGTATATATATAAATGATAATAAGGGGGGAGGGGGGACAGCTGGACCCGACTTTGGCCGGGCGATACTTACGTTGATATCGAGAGAAAGTTTGTCCCTAATGGATTTGGGATGCGAAAACACGTACATGTAGCTTTTGGGATTGGCTCTGGAGTGCATATTAGCCGTAGCTACGAGAGGCGCCACGATTCCGCTGTCCGAGACCACTTGGAGCGCTAAGTCTCGATTACGCTGGCGCGTGTCGCCGCTGCTGCTGCTGCCGACGCCACCGCTGCCTCTGCCGCTCCTCTCGTCTTCGTCCCTGCCGTAGTGCTCGAGAACTTTGCGCAGAATCAGCTCGGGCTCGAGTTCGTGGCTCGCCTGCGACGCAACGACAAATCACTGGTGAAATTGTAACATGTGTGCGCTGCGCTGCGCTCCAGTAGCAGCAGCACCATATAGGTATACAAAATATTACATAAACGCTCGAACACGCACGGAGGCAACTTCCGAGGAAGCCAGAGCAGAAGCTCCAGCTCACGCGCGCCATACTATACTATACTCCTAAACTCCTCGACGTGTTGTCGTCGTCCGCACGTACATCGCACGCAGTACTGCAGCAGCAGCATGCATGAAACGCCCTTGCCCCACGCTCCCTTACCATTCGTGAGCGCGCGCGCTAATTAACATTGTTTCATTTCTAGACGCGCGAGCGAGGGCGAAGGTACTACGAATTTCGTACGCGACTCTTGTCGTATTATATCAGAATATGTAATTGTACTTTTAACTCCGGGAATCTTCTTCGCCTCTTCTATTCCTTTCTCCCAAGCTTTCGTTTATCGATACTATCGCTTAGCTGCTGGTGTACGGCGATGGGACGCGAATTTTAACCCCCTTTGACTCCCTTCCCCTTCCCTCTCGAAAAAAAAGAAGAATAAAAGTTTTCCCTCGAATGTTCTTTGATAAGATAATTTTATTGGACCTTCGAACGGATCTAAGATTACTTTCCCTCCGGAGATCCCTCGGAGAAGAGGGAGTGAGAGAAATCCGAGCGTGCGAGAGAGCTCGAAAAAGTAAGTCGCGAGCTGCAGCGCACACGTATTGAAATATGTCCTCCAAGTAGTTGGCAAACTTTCTCAAGCGGGTCATATGCGGCGGCGGCGGCTGCTGCTGCAGATTCTACATTCGCAGCTCTCCGCGCGCTCGAGCTTCGCTCTAGCTTCACCCCTAGCTTCGCACATCGACCTCTTCCTAGCCTGTATCATTCCATACATATGTACGTATATGCATCTCGTGTGTGCAGTTGCTGTGCGCGATCTCCGAGTATTAGAAAGCTCGACGTATCAGTTCAGGCGCGCGCCAATCGCATCGATAAGCATCGCAGCTTTGAGAGTAAAACATGATTCACCGCGCGCGCCACCTCACCCTCCTCTCCTCCTCGCCGGCGGAAACAGCTTCTCTCTATCTCCATCTCTTTCTCGCTTGCGTGCTTTCATACGCTGTTGCTATGAATTGCACCGCCGCTTCCCATGTACTGCGACGATACGTATACTCACTTTGACGCTTTCGCGAATGAATTCGTCCCGCCTGGCGCTGGATAATCCTTCGAGCAGCGCGAGCCCAGGCAGCAAATTGAATTTTTCCAGCTCCGTCACGCCGTACATCAGGTCGAATCTACAAAAGAGATACATACAACATATTATGCACGCATATATACGTTGTGTGCTATATTTCTAGTAGATATATATTAATATGTGCATCTGCGCAGTTCGCACATTGTGTAAACAGAAAATTTTTCGTCAACAAGTATATAAGCGTTTTCAGTGGCCAATATATGTATATAGAGCTCGAGCTTTTTTGCCCGAGATCGCGAGCGCGCGCGGATTTCAATGCGATATACACTCCGAATTTTTTTCCTTACTTTCCTCAAGCGGACCGGATAGAAAAGCGAAGTGGTTCTAGTCCTCGACGACGATCCACGCTCTCTGGTTCTTTTTTTTGCTCTTCTTTTACCCAGCACTCGGGTGGGAAAAAGAACTTGATAATGCAAATAGTCTCGAGTCAGCGTTATAGCGGTGTAGTAGTAGCTAAATGCGGTCTCATTTCGCCGATTGTGCCTTGATGGCTTTGCCTGCATCCAGAACGGTTTACGATTAAAGTTGCCGCAAAAAAGAGAAGAGAAAGAGGAAAAGAGAGAGGTAAAAAAAGCACCCACACGCGGTATGGGCAAGCCATCTCGCGATAAGACAGCCAAATAGAAATTTTTTTAGAAGAATTAATCGGCAAGTATCAATCTTACTGCAGTAGCTATACGTTATACGTATACGCGCGTGCACCGGCATGGAATCGAGCCTTCGCTCCCGCCATCGGGCAGGGACGGGAGGGAAGGGTACTATAAAAATTACGACTGGACATCTTTTTGGCTTGTATACCCGCGCGTGATGCCCGGTGGCGGTGGCCCTTCAATATCATTAATCTTTCCGAGCAATAAATTCTTCCTCTCTCCCCCCCATTCCGAAAAGTCATAGAGCAGATTTATGGCAGCTGCAGCTCATCCATACACACGAAGGTACGGAGAAGGGGGTAAAGAGGGAGAGAGAGAAGTAAGCTAATTATAACGCCACGAGGATATTTGCCATTTTAATCGTTTCCACTTTGGGTGCACGGAGAGGGCTGCATAGTAGTAGTAGCAGTATAGCACGCGCGCCCCGAACGACTCGCGCGCTACACTACCTACTGCCGTTGCACACACTCTACCATGCTATAATGCTATGGGCTGATATAACTCCTGGGTTTAATTAGCATAATCATGGCGAAAGCTGCGCCGCAAGCCATGGCGTATACACACCCGCGCGTGATATTCCAAGGCGGGTTCATGCTGCAGGCTATAATGCAATGAGCTATAGGCTGCGTGTATATATCTGTGTACTAGCTGTGCACTGCTGCTCTGTACGTACCTGGAGAGACGCTCGGCATTCTTCATTAAATTGCCTGGTTTGTCCGGTATGACGGCCGAGTCGACCAGTGGCGCGAACGCGGGCACGAACTTGGGCTTGTGAATCTTGACGTTGAGCAAATCCTGCACCGAGCGATTCTTCAGGCAGGCCGACAGCTCCTCGTCGCTGACTTGCGGACAGTTGAGCGCGTAAGCGACCTTTTGAAAAAAGTATAAGTTTGTATTAGTTTGTTACATTAGCTTTTTTCAATGTACAAGCGAAGCGTGTCGAATTTTTTCAGGATAGAATTGGGATCGAAGCTGCGCATTACATAAAGCTTAAGTGCAGTCAGGTTGGGACACACGTGCAGCGCAGAGAGAGAGAGAGAGAGAGAGGCAGTGCGCGCTCACGACGAACACAATGTATAAAACGCTTCATTAACTCGAGATGGGATTGAAATTCGAATGGGAACGCTCGTGCGCGCAGTACACGATCGATCAGAGCCGACAGAGCAGCAGCGCAGCATCAGCTCGTATCAAGCTCTATCGGTATTCATGACTACGAATATATACGTATATAGAGAAGATGCGGGAGAGGAGGGCAGCCGACAGAGTGAGAGGAACATGCACGTGTACAGAGATAAGGAGAAGATTGAGGTACACAGGCTATATGTAGTGCTATGTAGAAGGTGGAAGCGTTAGTGGTCGGAATCAGCAGCAACAGCAGAAGCGTAGCTAACGTATATACGCTGAGCACACCTGTTTTGTGATTTGCAGCGGGGCTTTGCCAATGGCATCTGGATTAAGAGCCGATCCAGACATCAAGACGGCTCGTTTGAAGAGACCTGCAAAGCGAGAAACGGTAATATCAGCGTCATTTTTCTTTTTCCTACATCCTGAGCGGATAGAACCTCGAGCGTCGTCGAGCTTGTTACGCTCGCACCGATGAAAATTCACGCCTGCAGCTTTTGCAAGGATACAATGCGGTGTGCGAGCGGCAGGGCGTCGCGCGCGTGCCACTTAGCCGCGCACTAACAACAACAGCAGCAGCAGCAGCAGCAGCAGCAGTAACACCACGCGATGTGGAGAGGGAGCAACGCTAGAGTAAAACTCGAACAATAACAACATGAAATCAAGCGCGTTCGTGTGCATAATCCAGAAAGCTCCGAGTGAAATCTACGTTGGTATATATATGTATACGCGGCGTCGGTGCCTGCTAGGCATCCTCTGCGTATAAATCAAAGCACAAACTATTCGCGGAATCGAGGAAACTTTGAATTCTCGACGATCGACTCTGGCTCGTCTGCGGAGGGGGTTACTCGCAAAACATACGTGCGCTGCTGTGTGCACGCTGCCACAAGTACGTAATAAATAAGTGTATAATACTGTCATAATGTAGCGGTCGATTCGTCACGACGTTTTGATGTATTTTCACAAAGTGAATTGTTTAATACAGACCGGCGTTGATGGGGCTGAGCAGCAGCAAATTGACGAAGACTGCACCGGTGCCGTGGCCGAGCAGCGTAATGCTCGCCGGATCTCCGCCGAATTGGCCGATGTTGTCCTTGAGCCAGGCGAGCGCGGCTATTTGGTCGAGCAGACCGAAGTTGCTGGCCGTTTCGTCTTTGGTTCCGGGTCGCAAGAAACCTGTATGGATGCGTGCAGAAATGAATGTACATCACTTTAAACAACACAAGATTAATTTTTACCCTCTCGAAAATTTTTAAGCTCTACAGCGTGTACGTACATTATAAGCGGCAATTGCTTATTGCAATTTTGACGAGGTTTACTTTAGAAATAAACTTCTTTTCAGGCGAGCAGTTTTTTCAGCTCTTGAAATCGGCAGACACAAAGGAACAACGAGAGCGACAGGCAGGCGGTATGGCTGACGAGATCGAAATATTATATACACGAACGTAAAAACTATACATCGCATCCTCGACTACTGTCGATTCAATGAAGCTCCTGCCTGCCGAACATCCAAAAGCTCTCAGCTGAACTCGCGCGCACGTACACGCATATACCCAGATTACCAATTAAAAAGTCGGATCGCGCGCGCGCCAGCGAGGTAGGTCGCGCAAGCTCGTTGACTGGATTTTCATTAGAGCTTTTATGCATACACGCTTGCCTGATATATACTATATATACTATGCATATACAATTAATGCATTTAATGGGATGAACTGCTGCATCGTAGTGGCATTATATACTGTATATTTAGTTGCAAAACCTTTACCCAAAATCCCCAATCGGAAGTTGACGGTAACGAAAATAACGTTGCCGTAAGCCGCCAGCACCGTGCCGTCGTATGGATTTCCGCTGTTCCACTCGTAGCTCTCGCCGTGCACGAACACCATCACCGGGTACCTTTCCAAATTGTTTTTCTGGCCTGAAAACACAAAAGGGCGTCGTGAGAGACAAGCAAAAGTGAACATTTGTTTTATCATTATTATTATTACGATGTATTTTTTCGTTGCATTGCGGTTATATTACTATATTATGAGCCTGAAAATGCGACTCGCCGGAATTTTTGCGGCCTCGAGCGCGAGTGGTATAAGCCAGGATATATAATTACAAGATGTCCGACGATATTGTTGTTGCCTGAGCTTGCAAAGAAAAGTGATATTGTATCATACGTATGTATACGTGCGACACAATTGTGCAAAGCGCCCATGTGCTGCTCTGTTGGTACTAGTGGCGGTGCTGGTGGTGGTGAGCTCTTGGGCACATGTCTCGAATGAATGAATGTAAAAAAGGGCGTGCACGCAAGAGTGTGCCTCGGCAAAAAAAAGGAACGAAGAATATAGTATACAGAAATGCGGACGCTCGCTCGCGCGAGCCATTGTGTGCCTCGGAAGAAGGTCAGTTATTAAGCTCGCTCGCAAGCTCACCCTACAGGTGTGCAAGTGTGCGTGTATATGTGTGTGCCTGGCCGACACTCTGCTTCGTGGATTATATAGATGTGAATAGCTGTTCCGTCCTTCCGTGTCAGAAAGAATTTATTATTATTATTATATCTGTTATTATTTCGCACCTATTGTTCTGCGGAGCTCTTTTGTACGATTTTTATTTATTGAACCGGTGCCACTTACATTTTCCTCTTCTTTTTTTTAGCAAAAACAAAAATACTACATCTCTTGCTTGGCGAACTACGCTAGAATCGGCGCTTCTATTATGTCGTTGGCTAGACTAATTGGAGATAAATTTCATACGCAATATAATAAACATTGCTCTGTGCTTTCAAGCTTGATAAAAAATATCGTCACGTTGATAACAATTTTACCGAATGAGACAAACATCATTTGGGGGGTAGTTTATTATATTTTCACAAGAAAGTACTCGAGAGGATAAAAACCTAGAAATTCAATCGCATGGCGATGATTATTTTATTTCGTGGGAATGAAAATCTCGTACGAAACGGATACATATGTACATTTTATATTTTTTCGCTCCGTGAAGTTTTAATTGTGTGTTTTACGCCTCTTCAAATGTTGAATTAGAATATTCTCGACGAAGATAGGGGGAGAGCCAAAAAAAACGAATAATTTCATATAATATAAATTTTATTCAGCCGTTGTACGGCAAAAAAATTAAAAATATCCTCATTAAATGTTCCCTTTTTTCGACCGCTACGTGTGTTCGCATGTGCACGTGTGCAGATCCGTGTAAAAGCTAGGTTTAATGCATGCCAAAAAAAGATAATCAGAGAAAAATTTATGCTTTTCGCTCTCTTATTACGCGAGCAAGCTTGAAATCCTGCTTAGTCAGTAAAATAAAATGAAAATTAAGGGCATTTAAAGGGAGAGCTTGTTCCATACATGTTAATATGTTAAATGGCCGCGCACAAAAGAACGAGAGGTCGGTCAGTCGGTACGTGTAGCCCAGGCAGGTAGAGGTACAATTTGTCTGGCAACTGCGAGTGTAGCGAAGAGAAAGAGAGCAAGAGAGGGAGCGAGAATAGTCATAAAAAAAGAAACGACAACTGGCCTGCGCATGACTCAAACTGTTGTACGTCAGCAGTGGAGGGCAATTTGGACGATCAGACGAGGGAAAGAGAGCCGGGGCATAGTTGTAGCGCATGTAGCGCGAGAAAGAGCCGAACACAACCCAGTTTTCAGCGTCGATTTTTTTTCTTTTTTTCTGTTAACCCTTTTTGACCTCGCAGCTCACGCGCCGTCGCCTCCGTTTTGCCTCTACTCTCTCTCTCACAAAAAAATGTAGCCAACTAGCGTTAGGATGGCCTATCTTGCAGCTGTACGATATGCAAGCTCGCGCGTTCGGCGTCCCTTCAGCATCCGGATCGGAATACGTTGCTTCTCTCTCGCTCTCGAATCTTTTATGCAGCGTCGTTTGCTTCGGGTAAAAGAGGAAAAAAAGGAAGAGAGGAGCAAAAAAAAGTCCAAATACAACAGCGTGCAGCAGCAGCAGCCGCCGCCGCCACCACTACAACTGCCGCATAGTAGAATCGATGCGTCGTCGTCGTCGTACCCTCCACTGTCTATGAACTTTGAATTTTTTGCATCGGACATTTTGCTCTCTCTCCTCGCAAGTACTGCAGCTCTCTCTCTATCTCTTTCTCTTTTTACTCTCATTATTATTTGATTTACATTTAAGCTGGCGCGAAAAAAGTTTCTCTCTTTTCTAGTAGAAACTTTCTGATTTATTCGGCTATAATGGAAAAATGAATGAAAATGTTCGCCTTCCTTGCCCGAGTTATATTCGCGAGCGCACCCGCGACGTTCGCCAGACTCTCTCTCTCTCTCTCACTCTCTCTCTCCCCTTAAAATGTGAATGAAGTCTGTTTTTATTCTTTTGTTTTCGATGCGTCGACGTAGCGTCGTGTGTAAACACGATGGAACAGCAAATGGGAGCTCCGAGCTGCACCGAAGCAAGAAAAGAAAAAGAATATGTGCACCTAGAGCTCGACGAATATGCTTATAGCAGGTGCAAGAGTGGACGCAGCAGTGGCAGCCGCTACGGCTCTCTTATATATTTTTCGTCGAATGCCGAATTCGTTATGCTAATGGCGAGAATAAATTTTCCGTTCCACGTCGGACGATGCCAGCAGCCATGGCATGGAGTCGAGCTAGCCGCAGCCAGCAAAACGCGGGTATACTACAACATGCACGCAGCTGTATATAGGTGTGCGAAATGTGATGCCCTCCGCTCGAAAGAAACCTTCGGTGGCTGCACAAGTCCATACACGCTTAATGGCCATTTACATAATTGCACTCTCGAACGCGCGCGCACCCCGCGCACTCGTGTATACTTTCAAAGATACATAATTTCCGTTAAAAGTTACCATAGTTCAAGTTGCCAGCTATCTCTCTCCCTATGTCTCGCCAAAGCAGCAACAGCAGCAGCAGCAGCAGGAGCAGAGTCGACGTTTCGACGAGCTTGTTCGCAGGGCAACGCGCAAGTTCTTTCTCTCTCTCTCTCTCATATGTAATATAACCGTACGAGCTCGCATGTACATGAACTCGCGTATCTCCGCTCGTAGTGTGTTTATAATTGAGGTGCATCACCGCGTGCGGATCGAGCTCTGCATTTCATATTTATACATATTTTACCTAACAAAAGAAACTCACCGCTGCTGCTATGGGTGCATTTTTTTAATATGTTTTTCCTTCTTACGCACACGGCTATAGCGTGAATATAGAGTAAGGGGGAGAAAAAAGTAGTATTATATTTTTTTTTATGCCCGAGAAATAATGGAGTATATACGATCGTATTCAATTAACTGCCGAGCTTGGTCATAAATAAAATCATATTTTACATTTCTGCAGTGTGCGGCAGCGGTGGTGGCAGCGCACACTCGGAAGCATATTGAGAAAAGCGCTGAGTGCAAAAAGAGAGAAGAGAAAGAAAATGCGCTTGCTCTGTCTCTATCTTTCAATGTATTTTTCTGATTTTTCGTTCTCTCGTTCTATCTTCTATTTTTTTCTCTTATATCTACCTCTCTTTCTCTTATTGTGTCGGAGCGAAGTCGCAAGCGTGCGCGCGGACAAAGTGAACTTGAGGCATGCGAAGGAATTTACGAGCAATCGTTGGAACGATAAAAATAAATGGACGCAAATAAGAGAACGAGGATACGAAAGCCAACGTCAGGAGGTAGGAAGAATTCCGCGGACAGGTTTCTCTCTCTCTCTTTCTTTCTTCCTCTCTCTCGTTCTTTTGGACTCGATGCAGATTTACATGGAAATTGAAAGAGGCGCACTGGGCGCACTACGGATCAATGGAGTTACACCGTTAAAATTGATGCATCGGTAGATATTTTCATTTTACCTTCAGTCATATTCTCCGCACTACATACCGTGTAATACACGAAAGCCCGAGCAGCAGAAGACTGCGCGAAGAGAGTTTTGCCGAGGGAGATGCTGCCGCTGCAGCATCTACATAAATCAACCGGTGGCGAAAACTTCAATGTATTCGCGAAATTATAGATATGCACGTGTATATAACCCAGGGCGGTGGCGACGGGGCCGAAAGTAGGTACATACATATGACGCGTGTAAATCGATGCGATAGGGAAAGCGGATTTTCTTCGGGGAATTTTTGCGAGTTGCACGCCTCGGTTGCGCAGCGATCATGATTGATAGTAAGTTTTTCCGGATACCCAGCGTGGCTCCCGAATCTTCGTTTACATCCGCGAGCGCGCGTACCAAGTAAGAAGAAGAAGAAGAAGAAGTGCCGTATTTCGTGTATGGGCATATTTTTAAAATCCAGCGGGTATATAACACACACTCACGCACACCAGCAGTCGAAATAGAGAAAAATATATATTATTTGTCAAGCCCTTTCGTCGCGTATAAGCGTATATTGATGTATAAGGTAATCTCTTGGGGTGAAAATAAACTTCCCGCGCCGTGCCGTGAAAATATACGATGGATAACCTTATTGAATCATAATATCGAAAACCAACACTCGGTGTTCGCTGATAGAAAGCGAGAGAGAGCAAGGGAGACGGAAAGAGAGAGAGAGAGATAGACAGACAGAAAGCTCTCAAAGCCTTCCGCAATATTTTTCGCATCGAGAGCTATGAAAATAAGCCCGATCGTGTCTGTCTCTTCCCGCATGGCTGCGACAAGATCTTCATTTCGATTCACCGAATTTGTGCTTTCGTTCGACCACCCATGCAAACTTTACATAAAAGTGTATGGGCTTGCAGGACCGAGTGCAAATATTCGACTAGCTCATAAACAAGTTCAATTGGTTTTGTACATCGGGCACGAACATCGCGAAACAGTAATAAAGCACTTCATTGGGCTTGAGCGAGCGATAAATTACTCTCTTTCTCTCTCACCCCTCTCGAGCCCGAGCTTTTTCCGAAAGAGTCATCATTTTTAATCAAGTTCAATGAGACGCGTGCGCGAGTACATACATCGCTTG